TAAGAATGGTCTCTGCGACCCAAGGAACGAGGAAAACAAGGAAAACATAAAAATCTGACCCCTACAGAAATGTCCCGAAAAGAAAATAAAAACTATGTTACTACGCAGACTTAGCGAGGTATTGGGTCTTCTGATTTGTTGTTGTATCGATTTTTTTTTCTTTATAGTACTAGAAATCTAGTTCGTAAACAAAACAAGACGTTTCGGTGCAAAAATAGCAAAATTCATTTTCAGTTTTTTTTTGTTTTTCATTCAATTTATTACTTTTTGGTCGAGATTTCCAGAAAAGTCTTATTTTCTACCCTACTTAAATCGACTTCCCAAAACATTAAACGTACTTTTACGGTTCAAAATAAAGCTGATTCTACAATAACTGTCCACAAACTGCAGCATTTTTTAACAAAAGAAAGAATGTACTGTGGGGAAAAACGTAATTAAAAATTGCCTCACGGGTTTAACACAACGTTAGTGCATTAAAGCCCTCATAAAAACGTATTCCTCGTACTCGAGGTAATATTTCAATCGCGTGACAGCGAAAGTGGAAAAGTTGTATTGCAATTAGCAATTCTAAATATGCACTGGCTTCCAGCCTACTTTTTGTCAGCAGATAGTAACAACATGTAAAGTAATATTTTATGGGACATTCATGAGTGTTGCTGCAGAAAAACCATTTCCTCGAAGAGCTTTAAGAAGAAGTATGTACGTTACTTAGTCTAGTTTCTTACGTTTGTGTGTCATAAAGTTTTTCAACACTCTTGTAAATGTTTGTTATCCTTTAATAGTTCTTGAATATAGTAAAACATGTCTGTTCTGTGAATAAAATAGAGAAGAAACCCTTTTTTATCGGGTTCCTTAATATAGGAAAATATTAAATATCTGTCATCAGAAAATTCTATTAACAAGGGCGCTTACATCAATAATTTATGTGGACTATTAAAACTCTTCTTAGTGGCGTAGCCAAATCACAAGAATCACATTATTCTCATGTTAAATACTTTGTAAGAAACTTCGATCACCATTTTCAGACACAGGAAATTTCGTCACTATCTACTTTGGAAGCAAACGCTTACTAAAAACATATTCAACGTAAAAATCGTCGTACTTTATACGGGGTCCTATAAAGAAACCGTATGTCTCAGCGCATTTGGAACGGTTGGCAACCCTAAACATAGCATATTGACCTAAATGCTGTCTGGGGTTGGGGCAACGAGCTAAATTTACAAGAAGCTCCGGCGAAGTGTCAGACTATCGCCCAGTTTGCAACTTTAGGCCACTCGGATACCCCACACTGAGAATTTCTCGCTGATATTATAGTTTACTGTTATATAAACAGCTGTGTTCCGAAGATATATTATTATATATACACATAGATCTTCATGTATTAAGATTGCGATTGCCAAGTTGTAGATATGATTAACATAAAGTAGAATTTTATTTGCTCAACACACCTTATAGTTATCAATAGAAAAGTTCTAAATTACAGTTACAACGATAAAAAATAACAATTTCCTATTTACCTCAGCAATAGAAACTTAATTCACTTCAATTTCCACCATCGCGCTCAAAGCCATAATATCTGGATATAATTTTTTCTTTCAACCCTTAATATAAAGAGCTCAGTAAAAGTTCCTTAGTTTTTTTACTTTGAGCTCAGCTCGAAGCAAACTTCAGCCAACCGGTGCGCACAAATTACTGACCTCCCGTGTGTAAAACATTTAGTTCATAAAATGAGGATAATCATATTCATGGCAGATGGGCCGTGATGACGTGACCTGGGCATCGCGTTGCCGTCTTTTTTGCTTTCCTACTTCGTGCACTGCAGTTGCAAATAAAAAGGTAATTTTCTCTGAAGCCATGGCATTTTCTTTTTACTTTTCCGTAGTTTGGAATCGACTTAGCAGAAAAGTTTCCGGTGGCCCAAAAATACACTATACGACTCATCCCTCAATATTATTTAGGTGCAAATACGTTTGCATATAAGGCTTCTATGGAAGTTATGTGGCTAACAAAGTACATACAGTCAATACAATTTTTGTGTCACGCCCTAATTTCTTTAACACTGTAAAAGTAGGGTAATGTGCTGTTGTATGTTTTGGCAGAAGCCAAAAAACCCAAATAAAAATATTTCACGCAGTGTTGGGAATTGATTGTATACTTGATCACGTCGGGGTCACCAATGTGGGGGTTCTATGTATTTTGTCAAGGTAGATAAATGATGCGCTTCATTTTATTTGGAGATATATAATTCTGGTACAAGTTACATGATATATACTTAAAAATGACGACCTACTAGTTCGGTTGCGGGGAGACGACTGCCGTGCGACGCCAGCGCACGTACGCGCTTGGGAACACAAAAGTACAGCGTCAACAGTGTGTCCCTACATCACTCCCCCCCTTATACAAAAAAA